AATCTACTGGGCCAAACGCTTCAATAACACAAAAAGACGAAAAATCGCTATGGCAATTACATGACCAACAGCTTCTCAAAAAACACCGCTTTTTTCGTGACTTCCAATGAGGAAGTTTAGAACAGCTGATTATAGTCGCACATGGTTAATGACTGCACCATCCCACATTAGAAATTGATGCGAACATACGGGGTCAGGTCGCGTATGACTTCCGGGCATTCGTCCCTGCTATTCATTGTAGGGTTTTTGGCATTTATCCAAAAAGCCTCAAGGAGTTTTCGCGCTGGTGTTTTGGACTCCTGTGCAAGGATATTGACTTTTACTTCAAAATGGTCTACTCTATGCTTTTGTATCCCATGTGTGCCTAGTGGGGTGCTTCGTCTTAGTTTTCGTTTGCCATTTAGGTGTTCTTTTATACGGATACACAAAGGTCTGCCCGTTTCGCCAATATATTCATCTCCGCAACTGTTACACGAGATCAGGTATATCGTACCTGTACTCATGCAATCACCGTTCCTGCCGGAGGGACAAATTACGCAATTTGTTGTTTCACACAGACGGTCATACAGGCGGTTACGAACTAATTGACGACTTAGAGTAGCCGGTGGTATTTCGACTATCGCTACCGATTCCTCTACACTTGCCTTTCTTAAGCATCGTTTTATAGCTACGCTTACTTCATCGCTTATAAAAGGCAACATAAACGGGACTTTCTTTTGGCCATGTGTTTCGCGTGGGCGCGTCGCTCTCCTTCTAAGCTTATCTCATGGGGTTACTATTTCGTAGCCATTGGAGATGGCTATTTGCCGAGCCAAGTCGCGCGACTCTTCCTTCAGTTCCCTGGTAGTGCACACAGAGGTGTGTTCGAAACATGCTTCTCACAATCGCCTTCTTTGTGTGTGAAGGGTGGGAAGAAAGCAAATGAACAAGAATGTTCTTGTTACTTGGCTTTCGATGCCACTTTGTCATGTAACCGCTACTTGATAGGTTTATTTGAACGTCCAAATACGGAAGCCAGTTTTTTCTCGGTTCTCCCGGGTAAACTCTATGTACTCAGACTGCTCGTTCAATAATTCAAAACATTTGTCCACCTCCTCCTGCGTAGAGAAGACGACAAAACAATCGTCTACATATCTGCAGTAGAGTAGTGGCCGGAGATCGAGAACAGGGGCTTCTATCTTAGACATGATCACAATGGCAAGGCTTGGTGCCAATCGCTGTCCCATTGCCAGCCCCCTTATTTGCGCGAAATATTTCCCAGACCTTCTGAAAATCGAGCAGTTTAGGCACTCCTTTAAGAGAGCCATTAGCTGCTGGATGGACAAGCCATGCATAATTATTCTTTCTTCATGTTTAACAAGAAGTTCGAAGATGGCTTGCATTGCGGAGTCATTCGACACGTTGGTGTACAGTGCGGTAACGTCGAAAGACTCCATCACGTACCCGTTATTAGGAGATGCGTTACGTAGACGTTCTAGAAACATTTGGGTGTTTGTGAGGTGAGCTGGGATGTGGCTAAGCAACTGGGTAAGTATCACGCTTAAAAACCAGGTTATTCTATCCGTTGGCTCGTATACACAACTGATGATCGGTCTAACCTTAAACGATGACAGAATAGTTGACGCATGATCATCAGGTGAAACCAACATATGTGTTTTAATAAGTAGGTATAGGACGGGACATGTTGGTTTATCGATTTTAAAGTGCGAAATAGCCGATGATTTTAAACCCGCAGCCTTTGCCACACTGACCCGTTGATTCCTTAGGTTTCGATATCAACTTTTATATTCCTTTTCAGAGGATGGGCGATAGAGAGTAGCATCACTAAGATGCTCCTCTGTTATCTCAACATCCAGCTGGCGAGGAATCACTACGAACTCTCCCCCCTTATCACTAACAGACAATCTTATTCTTTTCGAGTTTATTAATTCTCTAATTTCCCGCTTGCCACATTTTTGTGCGGCTGTAAGGTTTGAGATAAACTTTCTACCGCGGTAGTGATCAAGGGTCTTGAGAACGCCGTCCGAAAACACGCGGAATTTGATGTCAACTCCATCGTTAGGGTCCTGGTGTCTAGAAAACGTTTTCGGGAAAGGAGATGGTGGTAGAGCCGCCGCCTCTCGATTTTATCTCTATTTGATGTTTCTTGCTTGGCCTGACAGTGGAGTCGATCTTGAAGCTCATATAGGTTGCATGCTATCCTACGCAGTGTAGTTTTAGAAATGGGCTGCGACGTTGCAAAACTTGAGCCCAATTCTAATAACGAGCGCGAATTCTCAGGTATTGTTATGCCCCAATCACGGTGACCCTAGATTTTCTTGGTGCATTATCAACCACATTTTGACTATTATCAGAAGCGTAAGGAATTCGTTTGCGGTTGTTTCTTGAAGCTGAGACATGTGAATTACCGAAAAGATCTTCGAATTTCCGTTGTAAGGCATTATTTTGGCATTAGATCTAATAAGATCGCATATCAATATTGAGCCACCAACTACCTTCCTCCAAAGGCGATCCTCCAAATACAAAGCACAAACATGTTCCTTCGTTGCACACTTCTTTATTCTGGCAAATATCTCGTTTTGCTTGCTTCGTAGCGCAGCTCGAAGTAGTTCCATTTCGATGCCTCGTACTTGTTGGCTGTCCTCTGGTTAACCGCATCTCTCGTGAAGTCGCTTTCGTTTTATAAACTTCGGCAAGACCCGATGTTGAAAACAGCGGCTGAGAAAGTTGATTTGCTGTCTAGCTAAGATAATCTTGTCTTAGTGACAATGCTTCCTTCACAAGTCGAAAGTATTTTGCTCGTACATCTTGTAATAGTTCCCAGGATCGACTTTCTATTAATTTCGGCGTTAGAGTATGAATGCGTCGTTTTCTTGTTCAGCAATCGCGAGGTTTTTAAACAGCATACATTTACTTCCATAGAAAAACACAATACAATACACTAGCTGACGTTTCAGCAGTATCGCCTTCTTCAGAGCCTGGAAGGGTATACTGATATACAATCTACTAGGCCAAATGTTACGAGAGTTATCATAGAGTTTTTTCGTCTTTTTGTAAGTGTCATTGAAGCGTTTGGCCTAGTAGATTGTATATTAGTATACCCTTCCAGGCTCTGAAGAAGGCGATACTGCCGAAACGTCAGCTAGTGTTGTAATGTATTGTATTTTTCTATGGAAGTAAATGTATGCTGTTTAAAAACCTCGCGATTGCTGAACAAGAAAACGACGCATTCATATTCCAATGCCGAGGTTAATAAAAAGTCGATCCTGGGAACTATCACAAGATGAAATTGTAGAGCCGAACACAAATGTGGATGCACAACCATTTAATATTAGAAATATTTCCACCCTACTGTAAGAGTTTCAAACACTTAACCTCCTTGCTTTTAATGTGCCTTCGCCATTGAACGTTCGCAAAAGACGTTCGGTGGTGGCCAGCACAATCAGCAGCATCGATGAAAACATGGCAGAGTTGCTCTCGGTCAGCACGATACGAAAGTATGAAAGGAACAGGCGGTAGACAGGCAAGTAGTGATAGTAGTCCATGTATACCTGTAATGAATAACGATTATAAAAACAAATGGCAATTGAATATATGTCACCCCCTTCGTGATTTACCACTTCACCATAACGACTGAATATTTTAACTGCGATAGAATAACAAGAGATTCATCTGCCTGTAACGTCATTTAAGCTCCGATAAAATTCTAAATTTCTGTACAGAAGCCCCGTAAGAATAAAAGTAAGCAATGAAATGTCACCATCTGTGAATGAGCTTGGCTGCAAAACTTCATCATTGCACAAAAGGTGTGTCACCAGAGAACAACTGTTCCTCGGAAAATGCGACGGTAGATGGGTCTGCAGTGGCGGTATTCCCATGAACAGGAATTTGCTCGTGAGCTTCGATTCATTCGAGGAATCAAGAATCCGAATTGAACGTATACGATTGAAGAGATGTGGATCAATACCGGGGCTTTGAAAATCTTCGCCTTTGATGCGCTTACATTAAACAACGACGAAGAAGTCGAAGTGTTCAACATGGACTTGGAGAAGTTCTACAGAGAATACCATATATTCTTCAACGACATTATTGGACATTTTAATGCTAAGATTAGACAAAGAATAACGTCCGAAAAAC